TTTTTATAATATACATGTAACTAAAGTATAATAATAGTTACTAAATAAATCCATTTAACTCTTTTATACTTAAGTATTATTAATAACTTAATAACTTTTAATAACACAAATGATAGAATTGATAATACTGCGGTACAGTAGTCTGCATTTCTTGTGAACACTGTCTCTTGACAATGAAAGAGGAATGCTGACAGATAAGCTAGATTGGAAATATAATAATTAAATTGTATTAACTGCTTTATGTCTTTTTGTTTTATTAATATTCTTTTTTTATACTTTTTAAATAAAATAATATTGATTATAAAACAAAGAATTGAAAACATACTTGATACAAATTCATTAAATCCAAATACTAATGTAAATGCCCATCTACCATTTCTTTTATAATTATATCCATTTCTTTTTACATCTTCAAGATGTTCTTTTATTGCTATTTTCTCTTCTAATGATCTTCCTATTATTTTATCAAATAAATTATCTTTTTCTTTCATATGAAGATTTTTTTGTTTTAAATTAAATAAACACTTTTGTTATTTCAAAAAAGTATAAAAATTTAATTTATAATTAATTTTTAATCAAAATTTCAATTTCTTTACATTGAAATCCATGATAAGGACCTATACTTAAAAATAAACCTAAATGCCATAAAGCATGCGAATCAATTATATAAAATACGGGTGGAAAATCGGTTACTTCAAATAAAATAGAAACATATTTTAAAAATGAAAAAGTAAGTAAATTACGTATCATAATCTTATTATCATTATTAGAAATATTCTTCTTTTTAAAGTAAATTATTATATAACAAACATTAGATACAAGAACCATAAAAAATATAACTAACTTATTTAAAATAGCATTAAAGTTAATAAATGTCATGTAATTATAGTAAATAACGAATATAACTATTCCACCATACATAATATTACGAGAAAAAACATTGTTAATTTTATAAAGTAAAAAAATTCTTTTTATAGAATTAATAGTATAAACCAAAATAGAAAATAAAGCAGTAGAATAATCGGCATTTCTAGTAAAAGAATTATAATTAAAATGATACATAAAAGAAGTAAAGAAAGCAGCATTTAAAACGTGATAATGTAACTTAATAGAAAATGATAGGGGTGAGAATTTGATTAATCTAGATAATCTAAAGTGATAAATATAAATATTAAGTACTAATCCTAAGAATGCAAATAAACTACTAACAAATTCAGAGAAACCAACAATGGGAAAGAAAGCCCACCTGCCATTTCTTTTTATGTTACTCAACCCTAAATTTTTTAAACAAAATAAGTGACAATAAGCAGCAGCTTTTTCATCTAATTTTCTATTAACAATCATGTCCATGAAATTAAGTTTTATATTCACATTTTTCATACAATTTTTAGTGCACTCTTCTATATTTCTCTTTACATACTTTTGAAATTTTTCTTTACTAAAATCTTCATTTAAATTTTCTTCTACAAAAATATGATTTGAATCAAATTCGGCACTTGTTTTAATAAAATTGATTAAAAAAAGATTTAAATATGAAGGTTTGAATATCTTTGTAAAATTCATTATTTGTTTTGGTTTCAATTTATTTTATTGTCTTACTTCAATAACTTTATCATAAATAAATGATGTAGGAATATAAATGGTGTTATTCTTGTTTTTTAACTTTAAATAAAATAAGTTCATTGAAATAACTGATCCTTTAAAACAATCAATCTTTATAGAATCACCTCTTATAAAAGGAACAGTTAACATTACAAATAATGATTTGTGTAATTTATTTTGTAAATCATTTGATGGTTCTTTTATAAAGAATTTAGTTAACAATTTTAATTTTTCAATCATTTAAAATTTTTTAATAAAAAAAATTAAATTTTAATCAATTCAAGTTTTTTTACAACTTTTTTATACAACTTATTAATCTCATTTAGATCACATCCATTAAATTTTAACAATTTTTTATTAGAATCAATTACAATAAAAGAATCATTAAATTTTAAAGAAACTATAAAGTCAAGATTTAATTTTAACAAACATAATCCAATAGCATTAAGAACCAAATACTCACAATGAGTATCTAAATAACAATAAATATCAAATTTAACAGTATCATTTTTTAAGTAGTTAAATAGACTCAAATCAATGTTTTTAACGTTAATACTTACGTGATTATCAGTCTCATTTTTTGGTTCTAAATTAATAATACAAATACATGATAATTCATTCTCTTCTAGCAAAACTGATGGAGATTTAATTAAATTGTATTTGTAATTCATTGAATATAAAATTTTTAATAAAATTTATTTAAGTGCGTAAATTAAACCAATCAATAGAATTATAATTATAATAATCCCCATTAAAGGATTAAAAACAACAATGATTATTTTAATAAAAAGGAGAAATTTTTAAAAAATTATTGAAAATGTTATTGGTAGATCTTTACAAACCAAGAATTTTAGAAGATGTTTTAGGCAATAAACAAGTGATTAAAATAATAGAGGAAATGGGAGTTGATTTTCCACATTTATGTTTAACTGGTCCTCCTGGTACTGGCAAGACAACTGTAGCTCATATACTAAAATCACAGTTTAAATCATTAGAATTGAATGCTTCTGATGAGAGAGGAATAGATGTTGTTAGAAATAAGATAAAGAATTTCTGTAATAGAATTGATAATAAACAGTTATTAATAATTCTTGATGAGTGTGATAATTTAACATTAATTGCACAACAAGCTTTAAGAAGACTGATGGAAGGTGATACAAAATTTATTCTAATATGTAATGATGTTTCTAAAGTAATAGAACCAATTCAAAGTAGATGTGCCATTCTTAAGTTTGAAAGAATATCAATTAGTGAGTTTTTACCAAGAATTAAAGAAATTTGTAAGAAAGAGAATTTGAATTTAACACCTAGTGCATTAAAAACAGTTATCAACCTGTCAAAAGGTGATTTTAGAAATTGTCTCAATATTTTACAACCTTTAATTAATTTGAAATGTGAAATAACTGATACGTTTTTATATAAACTTAATGGAGTTCCTTCTTACGATAAAATTGAAACACTTTATCATTTAATTAAAGATGTAAATTTAAAAGAGATTAATTTGTTATTAAATGAATTAACAGATAATTATGATAATTCAGATATAATTTCAGGATTGTATCAAATATGTAAAATTAATAATGATTTTAATATCTTAAAAGTGTGTAGTAAATATCAGTTTAAATTAGTTAATGGAATTAATTCAAAAATTCAGTTATTTTCTATGATTTATTTAATTATTAAAGATAATTAAACTTTTTTTTATAAAAATTATACTTTTAAAAAAAACTTTTATTTTCTAATTTTATAAATCATTTCTAATAACTTTGTAGAATCTTCATCTAAATAAGTTACATCATC